AAAGAGTTTGGGGAATCCAGGAGAGACCCTTAATTATAAATATGGAATATGGGAGAAGGAGGAGAAAGGTGTTTGTGGTTATTTACACTCCAAGCGAACGCGTTATGTGATGATGATAAAGAGGAATGATGAAGAGGAGGTGTGCGGGAGGTCCTCCGATTCTTCCGGTCCTCTGAAACTTGTTTATTCCTCCAGGAGCTTCAGGTTTTTTTCCCGAGAATCCGGTGAAAATTCTCTTCCGGTTCCTTCCCCGCTCAGGTGTGATGATTAACCAGAGAACAAACACCCGCCTTTCAAAATAAAAAGTAGCCCCTCTCTCTTGTCTCGCGCGCCTCCAGCTGTGGCTTTAATTGAATTAAATTGGACTTCTCTTATTCCCTCTCGAGGAAATAAACGAAGGCGGGAGAGGTTTCCCGAAGAGTTGGTGCGCGTTTCGGTGTGTTGTTGGAACTACCCGGCGGATTCCTTCCCCCCCCGGAGAGAGGGAGGGGGGGGGGGGGGGGGGTATCGCGAGGTTACGCCCCGAGTCCCGTTGGTCTCGCGTTGCCTCCTTTCTGCTCCTTTAATTAGACACCAGAAATATAAAAACAGAATAAATATCATCGATATTCAAATAAAGTCAATTCAATGAGGATTTATTGGCAAAATAAAACTATTTCAATATTATACATGTTCATGAATAATAGAAAGACCTTTTTAATGTAACAACTTAAAGTAAGAAAACCTTGAATGTATTATTATTTTTATTATTATTTTATACTTCACTCTATAAGATTGATTGTAATTGTTGCAAATCAAGTAACAAAGATTCAAAATGAAACTAAATATGAATTATAAAAATGATGACAAAGGAATAGATACAAAGATAAACCTCGTTCAGTGAAGGAGTAAATAAATAAATAACTGATTAACAGTTGGGAGGGAGAGGAAAGGAGAGAGGAAAGAGGAAAGGAGTGAGGAGTGAGTAAAGGAGAGCAAAGAGGAAAGGAGAGAGGAAAGGAAAGGAGTGGAGGAGGTGTGTGGAGTGGTGCCTCCTCCTGCTGGAGGACAGATGTTACTGCAGGTGGAGGAAGAGCTGCTGTATATTATATTAATGTGTTCATGTCTCATCATCTGTTTATTTAAGATGATACTTCACTAACGAGATACAAACAATGCGTTAATCATTTAACACAAAAGTCACTTTAAGTTACTTTAAGTTTTAATAAAAAAATTATCTCAGCAACAGTAACATGTTACTATAAAACGTATTCAATGTTCATTATGAAGGACAGAAACATGTAGGAAAATATCAATAATATGTATCTATATCACTAATATTGTTGTTATCATTTTAATTATCTTTGCATTATAATGCCTTAACTTTCACACTTTATACAAAGTTTATACATCATATTATGAACAAACATGGATCAAAGTTACCAACCTGAAATATTACTTCATAAGAAATAGCGTTACATTTAGTGTCATTATAGACTAACTGTAAAGAGAACTCAGGTGAGGAGAGAGGAAACAGGAGGGAGGAAACAGGAGGGAGGAAACAGGAGGGAGGAAAGACAAACGTGAGCAGAAAGAGGGACGCGGATGAAGACCTCTGAGGACGAAGGGACGGATGGACATGTGGACATTATGCAAAGGAAACAGTGCGTGTTATCCAGAATTACTAAGATGTCACATTCATTCGCGTTACTAACCAGACATGTGATCCACACTCCGCACCGGCTGGTGGCGGTAACGCGCCGATTATTGATCATCTACCGCCGACCAAGTTAAAACAAGACGAAGAAGAAGAAGAAGAAGAGGAGGAGGAGGAGGAGGAGGAGGAGGAAGAAGACGACGACGACGACGACAACAACAACAACAACAACATGCGGGAGAGTCGCAGAAAGTCTCCAGTTCAACTTTAACATCTTAAAGAAACATCCTGTGAGTGTGTCCGTGATACACAGTGTGTGTTCAGTGTGTGTTTGTGTGTTAACGGGCGGTGAACCGTTTGAACTTTGCTTTTACCGTTTAACCGGAAATACGGAAACACGGAAATAACGTCGTTTGTTCGTTTTTCGTTTTAAACCAAAAACGAACAAACGGAAATGTGCGTTATCTCGTGATGGCAAAGTGAAGCTTTCTGAACCAGTGAAACTTTCCAGCCAATTGTATCGGAAAAAGGTTCATTCATTCAATGCATCGCAAACTCTATGATGACCTCTGCTGTTGAAAACTTGTAGTGCAAAGTTTATATATATAAAATATATATATATATGACATGTAAGCAATATAATTTAAAATATTAGCAAGTGCGGGCTGTTGCCTCACAGCGAGAAGGTCCTGGGTTCGATTCCGCCCAGTGGCCTTTCTGTGTGGAGTCTGCATGTTCTCCCCGTGTCTGCGTGGGTTCTCTCCGGGTTCTCCGGGTTCCTCCCACAGTCCAGAGACATGCTCTGGGGATCAGGTTAATTGGGGACTTTAAATTGCCCGTAGTTGTGTGAATGTGAGTGTGAATGGTTGTGTGTCTCTGTGTAGCCCTGCGATTGGCTGGCGACCAATCCAGGGTGTACCCTGTCTGTCGCCTGAAGTTGGCTGGGATGGACTCCAGCCCCCCCGTGACCCTGTGCAGGATAAGCGGTTTGACAATGGATGGATGGATGGAATCAGCAAGTGCTTCCTACTGCATGTGCAGTTCATGGGGAGTCACAGGGACGTATGTGAAATGTTTGAATGTGGGGAGTGATTTCCAGAGGAAGGGGAAGTGTGTTGTGCTGACCGGTTTCTTATGACAGGATATTGAGGTGCTTGTGGACACATGCGGTATGGGGCATGAAGTTATTATTGATTTTTATTGAGAAACACAATTTTCTCCACAGAATTGGGGTTGAGTCGGTTTCTTAGATACTGTTTCCCCTGCCTTACAAAAAGGCGCTTACACGACACGATGAGGCAGGAATGCTCAAAAGATTACGTGCTAATACAAATAGATGTGGGTACACATGTTTGTGTTTGATTCAATATTTTAGCGGGTCTTCACTCCGTGGAATGTTTGATTCAGCCAAATATCTGGTCTCCACAATAAAAATAAACATCCATAATTACACAATACAAATGACAGACTTTGTCTGCCTATTACAAACCTTGTTAGAGGAAATCAAATTGAAGTGCTCCCACATCTCGGAGCGACCTCTCTCTGCCACAGCTTCCATTGGAAATTTGCTAATACTACTACAACCACACTGACTTTGACTGTATCAAACAGACAAGCCCCGACCCTGTTTCGAGCCCATTTGAATCAATTCGAAGCGGTCACGTGACTGTGCGCCGGAACGAAGCTTCGGACGTCACTGATCACGTGATCAGCAGCGAACGAACCGAGCACCGATACAATTGCTTCGCTCTGCACTGGTTCATATTTCGACACAAGCTTCGAAGCAGGAGGGTGGGAGGTAACAACACTACCGTTATCTCGTTTCCCTCAAAAACAACCGGCGTTTATCTCTCCTTGTAAGACATTTTCGTAAATGTGGCCCTTTCTCAATAACTGCGCGGAAAACCGACTTGCGTTCTCGCGAGAATAAACTCGGGAATCCCGACTCAGCTTTTGACTTGATGACGTCACCGCGTCAATACATTTTAATACAGTTCTTGACTGTTAAGTTTTTTTCTGTATATGTATATATTAGTAACTATTTCATCAAAGTATTTGGTCTTTTTAGTATTAGACACGTAATTATGCGTCACCTTTTTCTATTCTAAACCCTTAATAGTCCTTCGTCCTTAAAAAGTCATATAATATCCATTTTGCATATCATGTTATCCTCGCAACAACACCGCGACCTGTATTGACTATACTGCATGGGGGTCCAAGTATCGATACAATCGATTATGTACCATTTCAATCGATTTTTAATCGATTTATGTCGTCCGGAATGCTGGTTTGCGGAGCACAGATCGATTCAGTTGGATCGCAGGAATATAAATCGATTTATCGATTCAGTGGATGAATCGTTACACCCCTAACTGTAATATATAAATCTGTTCTCTTCAGGTTGGTGTCAAATCAAATGGAAGTTGCTTCCCTGGGTCGACCTTTCACCCTCTGAATGCTCTATGATGCTCAAAGAGATGCACTGATCACAGGTAAGTCTGGATTACGCTGTTAATAAAATGATTCATCTGTATCAGGGGTCTCAAACTCAAGTCAGGTACGGGCCAGATGCAGCCCACCTCGACCGAACGCGGGCCAGACCATTATGGCCGACGGGGGGGATGACACTGACGGTCCGACCGGCGAACGGAACGGTCGGCGCTGGGGTGGAGGTTGTAAGTGGCTGCTAACAGCGAGGTTGCTACAATATAGAACTCGCAGGCCGCACTAACATTACACTTTCATATGAAGGCGGGGGCCACAAAATATCGTCCCGAGGGCCGCAATTGGCCCGCGGGCCGCGAGTTTGAGACCCCTGATCTGTATAATTGGACTGAAATCATTTTACTATTTAATCATCTCCTTTTTATCGTCATTTATTATTCCCTATCTAATGAATTATCAAATGCTTTTTAGTTCCACCACAAAGCTGTGAATTGAAGTTTTTAGAGAGCATACTGTATTATTAGCTGATCATCATATGATTAATTAGACAAAGGAACTTTCTTTTTCTGGTCAAAGGTTTCGGTATTTCTTGCTAGTTAGCTGCCAAAGAAAAGTTCCGTGTTTACAGCACAGCTCGCTCGAAGCGCTCAATGTCGGTACGTAAAACGTTCAGTTTCAATCACCGAATGAAGCCGTATGTGGGACAAGAATCGCGACATTAATTTGCTTGCACAAAACTCTTGATCAGCATCAGTTTGTTGTTGTCGTTCATTTAAATCGCTTTGAGCAGAGATCACGTGTGTGCGAGCAAGAGATCTGCGGTTTTGCCGTTTAGTTAATTTACTTATTTTTGTGCAGGTAATATGTTGTTAAATAGGTTTAAACTTAAAACAATTACCTGTACAAGTAGTCATGTCTTGTTGTCTACATTTGTCCTGTTATTGTCGCGCCTAATGCGCAACCAGATATTGGAATATATCCGTCCATCTTCAGCCGGTTATCCGGGGTCGGGTCGCGGGGGCAACAGCTCCATCAGGGGACCCCAAACCTCCCTTTCCCTACGCCAATGGCTGAGCTTCTCACCCGATCCCTAAGGGAGACGCCAGCCACTCCCCTGAGGAAACCCATTTCGGCTGCTTGTACCCGTGACCTAGTTCTTTGGGTCATGACCCATCCTTCATGACCATAGGTGAGGGTAGGAACGAAGATTGACCGGTAGATCGAGAGCTTTGCCTTCCGGCTCAGCTCTCTTTTCGTCACAACGGTGCGGTAAAGCGAGTGCAATACCGCCCCCGCTGCTCCGATTCTACACCCAAACTCACACTCCATCTTCCCCTCACTCGTGAACAAGACCCCGAGGTACTTGAACTCCTTCACTTGGGGTAAGGACACATTCCCTACCTGGAGTAGGCGATCCATCGGTTTCCTGCTGAGAACCATGGCCTCAGATTTAGAGGTGCTGATCCTCATCCCGACCGCTTCACACTCGACTGCGAAACGCTCCAGTGAGAGTTGGAGGTCACAGACGGAAGATGCCATCAGGACCACATCATCTGCAAAAAGCAGCGATGAGATCCGCAGCCCCCCGAACTGTAGACCCTCCTCCCTTCTGTAGGCGTCAGAGACTCATGTTTGACAACAAGTTAAACTTCCACAATACGTCCAGAGAAACACAACTTGTTTTTATACGTCAACAAGTCAAGTCTCATCCAAACAAAACCTGAAGTGAGGTGAAAACACTTAGTCACGTTCAGGCACATTTTACTGTATGCAAGCAGGCTTCTTTACTGCCTGTTCTTACCCACAATCCTTTGCACAGCAGGTATCAGCCATGGGGTTGAGGAAGTAGCACGAAGCCTCAGTAGAATCCTGAATGTAACAACGTGTACTTTGTGAGGAAACAGCAGTTTGTCATGAAGGTAAAAGGTTTAACACGCAGCTTCAGACTGATACGAGTAAGTTGTTCCGCCCAAACAGGTTCAACCAGATCCTCAAAGTGGAGAGAAGAATAAAAACACTCTGACTCTGTTGTCTTAGTGGATGTTTTTATTCAACATAAACTCTTCACCACATTTGTTACAAAGGTTTCTGCTTCATCACGTGTTCCCTACTAGTCGAGGACCTTTGACCTTTGTGAACGCGGCTCACACTGACACTCACCCAGTCAGACCGCATACTTTGATGGTGACGTGAGGAAACACCCTCTCTGATGAAGGACAACAAGCTCCAACAAGCTGCATCGCTTCACTCCGTCTGATGGAAGCTGAAGTGAAGCACGGAGCTCCTTTTCTACACGGACCTGCTGAGGACAGAAGAGAGCTGCTCACTGAGGAAGTTCATGTCTACAAGCTCAGTAAGTGGAGCTGTGATTGGTTGAATGACATCATTGATGGTTGTGAACGTGTGATTGTTTAAAGCTGGGAAACAAGATGGCGCCTGTGTGAGCAGGCAGAGAGAAGCTGCTGTTGGTCTGATGATGAAGAAGAGGAGCTCAGTCTGATCTGGGGTCTGTGAGGACTGTTACTGATGAGGAGGGGAAGGTAGCAGACGGAGGGGCACTAGGACCCAGCAGGGACCACAGAGCTCACCTGGGCCTTTGTTCCTGAAACACACCTGAGAGACGCTCTGTTTGTCTCACCTGCTGCTTCAGTCCTTTAAGTCCACAAAGCTTCATGTTCACTTCTTCAACTGCTTTAAACACATTTAGTCGCTTTTTAGTGTTTGAATGTGTTTGTTTTCTTTAGTCTTCAGTTTTTCTCTCATCAGGAATCAGGAAACATTTATTAGCCAAAATATGTCAAACATACAAGGAATTTGTCTTGGCGGTTAGTGCGCGACAGTAGACAGACAAGACAACAGTGCACAGGTAATAAAATAAAGTGGAATGAAAAGCTAATGCAATGGGTTAGTAGAATAAGGCTATGGGTTAGTATAAAACAAGGGAACAAAGTTAAAAAAATTTAAATATTAGAAAGTTAAAAAGAAAAATATTAAGCATAAAGTGCACTAACGAACAAGTAACAGAGTGACGAGTGACGACAAAGTGATGAATTGCAGTTAAAGTGACATGTGCAGTATGAAGGAGAGTGACCGGTGTGATGTTATAGTCAGTCAGTGGGGGTCCGGCTCTGTTGATGAGCCCGTCTGCCGACGGGAAGAAACTGTTGGTGTGGCGGGAGGTTGTGGTCCTGATGGACCTCAGCCTCCTGCCAGATGGAAGGGGCACAAACAGGTTTTGTCCGGGGTGAGAGGGGTCGGCCACGATCATTTTAGCCGCTTCAGAGACCTGGAAGTGAACAAGTCCTGCAGGGACGGCAGATTGCAGCCGATCAGCCTCTCTGCAGAGCGGAGGACACGCTGCAGCCTGCCCTTGTCCTTGGCTGTCCATTGATCAGCAGGTCGTAGTCAACCTTTTACTAACTGATCACATGGTGAAGTGAATTGTCCCATCAGGAGAAAGCTTCCCCATGTTACCATGGTAACCACCATGTGTCCTATGAGGACAGCTACATGTCCTCTCTCTGGACTCTGAAGGAGATCAAGAGAAGAAACGGCACAGCTCCATCTGCTGGTCGATGAGTGATAATGTTCATCTTCATAATACGGGTGAATGAAGTAAAGCGTTCTGATGGTTTGTGAGTGAGTTACAGGTGTACTGTACCTGGTTACATTGACCTAAGCGTTCCATATCGGTCCACACTCCAAATAACCGGTGGATCTGATTTGAACTGTTAGTTGTCATTTCACTTTTTTGACACTTGTTTTCAGACGCACAAATGAATGTTGATCTCCTGGCTGATGAACAACAAACGTCTGGTGCGAGGCGAACACAGCCACATGTACAGGGACTGTTTCCTCTATACTACTGAACTGAGATACACAACGTTTGGTGGCTGAAAAGCAGCAATTTACTTCCAATTTATAATTTTGCTGGCCACCGTGTTCTAAAAGCAATTAGGTACTTGAAGCAGTACTTTAACAAATACCCTTGAACTGTAACATTGACAATAGTACTGCCCCAAGTCTCAGTGTTTCCCCTACCATTAGAACAGTAATTCAAAGTAAAATGTAGATATTTGTTTCTGTTTTCCACGCACAGCGGTTCCACACTGACCGGCTTGCAGCAGCGGTGCAGAGAGAACTGAATTGCCTGAACCATTTGACAGACTTTCCACCCCCGACGTTGTAAACCACCTTATTGCTTCATTAAAACACTACGTTTATAGGATGGACATTCAAAATGACGTCTCTTGACACGTTAACAGGGTTTAAAGAAAGTAAAAGGACGTTTGTCTTCCTCCAGAAGTCTAAACGTTAACAGAAGACAACAACACAAAGTGTCTCATGAGAGTTTTAGTGTTGAGGTGAATGAGCTCTGTGTGTTTGTCCTGATGAAGATCATAATGTGTGAGTTCTCCCAGCAGGTGGGTGTGAAGGTGTGAAGGTGTGGACTCTGCTATGAATCAGGCTGAGGACCCAGAGGACGGAGTCCGTCCCCCTGAAGCTCCTCTGTGTGGAGAACATGACAGCCAGACCAAAGCTCAGAGGTGAGAGGACCATCTCCAACTGTCCTCCACTCTTCTCCATGTCCCAACGTCTCTGACTCACTGACTCTGCTTGTACATGTGTGACCAGGATCCATCAGAGACCTGAACCTGGACCTGCACCCAGCTGTGTGTCCATGAAGAGTAACCAGTCTGTGGAGCCTCCTCTAGTCTTCAAAGATGTTGGTCCCTCTGTTGATGCAAGGTGAGGGTCTCAGGCTGATGATGAGGTGTTTCTACCAGACTCTCTGGTGGAGGTTCTGGGTTTCTTGCTCCAGGGCCCTTCAGCAGTGTCCTGTGAGGGAGGGAGAGCTCCATGGAGGACTTGGTGAGACTTGTTGGGACTAAACCAAACAGTGAGCTGAAAGACTGAGCTGTTGCTTCTCAGTGGGACCAGCAGGACCAGTAGACCTAAACCACTACAGGGACTCATGTGGTCCACACCCAGACCTCACGTCATGGACCTTTACCATGTTTTAGTCTCTGAGGACGGACACCATGTGAGCTGATGCTTCGTGATTAGATGATGATGTGATGATGTAATCTCAGTGTTTCTTTCAGGTCACATCAGCAGAGAGGAAAGTCTCCTGAACCCAGATGTTTGTCCATGAAGAGCGATCAGTCTAATGGTCGATCAATTAACTTCAAAGATGATCGGTCTCAAGGTCGATGGATTGATTTCAAAGATGATCGGTCTCAAGGTCGATGGATTGACTTCAAAGATGGACGCCGTTCTTATGACCCAGAGTAAGTTCTTAAACAGATGAACTGTTTTGATCCTCAGTCGTGAATCACAGAAATGGTCGTTCATTGTTTAAAGTGTTGTTTCCATGACGATCCATCATGACAGAACTCATTATCTTCATCTAACTGGTCTGTGAGTGTTAAAGTGTGAATCATTAACTGTAAACATCCTCAGATGTAAACACAATGTGAGCTAGTTCCTCCACATCAGGATCAGCAGAGGTCACATCTGGAGACAGATGACTGGGACTGAACATGTGATTAGAATGAACTCGGTGCTCTGTGGACCAGCTGACGTGGTCTCTGGACTCCATGCAGAGGTTTGGACAAAGTATCGTCAGTAGACTCTGTGAAAAGGTCCAAAGACCGTTAAATCAAACCACCGAGGAAGACGGGAACGTTAGGCGGTGTAATACGACTACTCGGCGCGAGGGGCGAGCGGGAGCGAAATGCAGGGAAGTGTTCCACGTAGGGAAACAACGAGAAAGACGATAATTGCGCCGCTATGGCGACGCTATCTGTTGCTAGGGACCACGGCTTGGACGAAGGGGGGGATTCTGACCCGCGACCAGCGGAACGTAGATGAGCAACGTGAATCAGGATGGTCGGACTTGTGTGTGTGTGCAGTTACGGAACCAACGATGTGGCTCGCGATACGAAATGAAACCACAGGCAAACGGATCTCGCGGCGGAGACCCGGGAAAAGCGACCTAAGATCGAAAAGAAAATAAGGAACTATTCTGACCATGAGACATCATTCAAAGCGTATCACAGTCTCAGATCAACAGGCAATATTACCACATTTGCAGGTACACATTCAAACATAAATCAAAGGTAGCGGATTCGTTGATCCGGACTCTATCGTACCACGTTATGACTGAACAAATCAAATAAACACCAAGTTTATATCAACACGCTAAATTAGTCTGCCCAGAAACCGGTCTCCTGCTGTTTGATGGGCTCGATCGACGTCGGTGGGGTCCGAACTTCTCGTTGAACAGCGGCGGCGCGGCGGGTCAGAGAGCAGCTGCTCTCCGGTCCTCCGGGGTGAGACGGAGATAAAATCAAGAAGCGAACAAGAACGCGGGGATGGAGTCGGGCGAGAGTCTTGAGTTCGTCCAGCGAGATTAAGACTGAAACTTGGGAATTGGAGGGAAAAGAAAAGAAGCAACGTTGTGTCTCAATCTATCACTAACAGGAAGTCAGGCGAAAGAGATCGATTCTTTGGCGCAATCTCTTTTTATAAAGTTGAGGTCCATAAATAAATGTCACTGTCCTCGGCCAATGGGAGCTCTCTGTGTTTTTTCGTACGTCCTCTTTTTATGGCCAGGTGGGGTCTGGACCCCCGCAGGGCTCCTGTTATCAGCCCCTGGCATCAGGCCACGGGGACCCCTATATGTTTGTGTTTTTCCTTGGTCCTCAGTGAAGAAAAACGTGGTGAGGTTTATTTGCAGCATGGAGGCCCAACAGTGTGAGCTGATGGTTCATGTTCCTCCACAGAGAGGAGAGCTCAGAGGTTCCCACAGGTCCGTCTGCCCAGCAGCATCAGACACACCTGGACTCCATCTTCATGGTGTGTACATGAACAACTACTTTTACATCTCAGTTCACCATCATCTCCATGCTGCACTTTGTAGACCAGTGGATTGTCCGTCTGTCCAACATGGACCTGATGGTGGCTTCCATGTTCTAGTTGTCATTCATAGAATGTTCTGTTACAGCTGCTGGAGGAGAACATCCTCACTTTTGTGAAGAACGAGCTGCAGAAGATCCAGAAGGTTGTGAGTTCAGATTACCCAGAATGCTTAGAGAAGGAGGATGAGGAGGTGCTGGATGAAGAGCAGAGGAGGTTCAGAGAGGAATTTGAGAAGATCTCTGTGCACTTCCTGAGGAGAATGAAGCAGGAGGAGCTGGCTGAGTGTCTGCAGAGCAGTAAGAGGATTTCTCTACAGATGCTGATAAATGAGACCTTCACTAATGTCTCAAGAGACGGACAGAATCTATTCATAGTCATTCTCTGAGGAGAGGACATGTTGACATCTATTCTTTGACTCATTGATCTTCTTTGTTGTCTTCATCCAGGACTTCATGCTGCAGATTGTCAGCGTGAACTCAAATCCAACCTGAAGAAGAAGTTCCAGTGTGTGTTTGAGGGGATCGCTAAAGCAGGAAACCCAACCCTTCTGAATGAGATCTACACAGAGCTCTACATCACAGAGGGAGGGACTGCAGAGGTCAATCAAGAACATGAGGTCAGACAGATTGAAACAGCATCCAGAAGACCAGCCAGACCAGAAACAACCATCAGACAAGAAGACCTCCTCAAAGCCTCAGCTGGAGGAGAGGAACCAATCAGAACCGTGATGACTAAGGGAGTGGCTGGCATTGGGAAAACAGTCTTAACACAGAAGTTCACTCTGGACTGGGCTGAAGACAAAGACCACCAGGACATACAGTTCACATTTCCATTCACCTTCAGAGAGCTGAATGTGCTGAGAGAGAAGAAGTTCAGCTTGGTGGGACTTGTTCATCACTTCTTCAGTGAAACCAAAGCTGCAGGAATCTTGAAGTTTGAGAAGTTTAAGGTTGTGTTCATCTTTGACGGTCTGGATGAGTGTCGATTTACTCTGGACTTCCACAACAATGAGGTCCTGACTGATGTCACAGAGTCGGCCTCAGTGGATGTGCTCCTCACAAACCTCATCAGGGGGAAGCTGCTTCCCTCTGCTCGCCTCTGGATAACCACACGACCTGCAGCAGCCAATCAGATCCCTCCTGAGTGCGTCGGCATGGTGACAGAGGTCAGAGGGTTCACCGACCCCCAGAAGGAGGAGTACTTCAGGAAGAGGTTCAGAGATGAGGAGCAGGCCAGCAGGATCATCTCTCACATCAAGACCTCACGAAGCCTCCACATCATGTGCCACATCCCAGTCTTCTGCTGGATCACTGCTACAGTTCTTGAGGAGATGAAGACCAGAGAGGGAGGAGAGCTGCCCAAGACCCTGACTGAGATGTACATCCACTTCCTGGTGGTTCAGTCCAAAGTGAAGAAGGTGAAGTACGATGGAGGAACTGAGACGGATCCACACTGGAGTCCAGAGAGCAGGAAGATGATCGAGTCTCTGGGAAAACTGGCCTTTGATCAGCTGCAGAAAGGCAACCTGATCTTCTATGAATCCGACCTGACAGAGTGTGGCATCGATATCAGAGCAGCCTCAGTGTACTCAGGAGTGTTCACTCAGATCTTTAGAGAGGAGAGAGGACTGTACCAGGACATGGTCTTCTGCTTCGTCCATCTGAGTGTTCAGGAGTTTCTGGCTGCTCTTCATGTCCATCTGACCTTCTTCAGCTCTGGTGTCAATCTGTTGTCAGGAGACCAAAGAACCTCCCTGGAGTCTAAACGCTTTAAACCCAATCCTGACCCAACGTGTCTCTACCAGAGAGCTGTGGACGAGGCCTTACTGAGTCCTAATGGACACCTGGACTTGTTTCTCCGCTTCCTCCTGGGTCTTTCCCTGGAGACCAATCAGACTCTCCTACGAGGTCTGCTGACACAGACAGGAAGTGGCTCACAGACCAATGAGGAGACAGTCTGGTACATCCAGCAGAAGATCAGTGAGAAGGTGTCTCCAGAGAAAAGCATCAATCTGTTCCACTGTCTGAATGAACTGGATGATGATTCTCTAGTGGAGGAGATCCAACAGTCCCTTAGTTCAGGAAGTCTCTCCTCAGAAGAACTGTCTCCTGCTGATTGGTCAGCTCTGGCCTTCATCTTACTGTCATCAGAAGAAGATCTGGAGGTGTTTGACCTGAAGAAATACTCTGCTTCAGAGGAGGCTCTTCTGAGGATGCTGCCGGTGGTCAAAGCCTCCAACAGAGTTCTGTAAGTACAGAGAGTCAGATTCATACATCAGGACTTAAACACGCTGCCGTCTTTTCTACTTAATGTTCAGATTTTCTTAGTTTTCTTTCTTTAAAACAAGTCAGAGGACAGAGAAGCTTCACGTTGTATTTAGCTCTTACCAACAGCAGTAAATATCTCTGCCTGGTCCTGATGTCAATACTATCGTACTTCCTGTCAACAACAGAGAACTATGAATTTATTTCTCTTGTTTAAAGTAAGACAAAAGAATTGTGAACACATTTTCTTTGCTCTTAATGATGTATTTTAGTCCAAACTCATCATCAAATAGCATTTCATTTTAGCATAAATAATATCTTTCTTCTTGTTGTTGTTGTCTCTTCAGACTGAGTGGCTGTAACCTCTCAGAGAGCAGCTGTAAAGATCTGTCCTCAGTCCTCAGCTCTCAGTCCTCTAGTCTGAGAGAGCTGGACCTGAGTAACAACCACCTGCAGGATTCAGGAGTGAAGATCTTGTCTGCTGGACTGGAGAGTCCACACTGTCACCTGGAGACTCTCAGGTCAGATTAAGTTAATGTGTCTTTAATGATGTGTTTATGGAACTGTGGAACCAGAGGAACTAATTTTAGGGACAAAACACAACTTTTTGTGAATGTATGTACGTTTCCATTACATCAGAACCTTGTAGACAAGACGTATTTACTACACAGCAGCTTGAAAATAGCAATGTTCTTTCACGATCAAACATCACATGTTCATCCTGTTGTTCCTGTAATTCAGGCTTTGTGATGTCCTGTTTCATATAATGAATGAATGAAAAGTAGAGGTGGGAAAGAGACTGAAGATCCTAATGTGTGTCTCTACAGTGATGATCTGCTGAGTGATGGTTGATTATTTCTGATTTGATGAAGATTCATTCCTCATTCACACTCACTTTGTTCTCTCTATCTTTCTTTGGAAGGAGTCAGATGGAGGATAGAGAAGCCTAACTTTGTATTTAACTAATAAACAACATTAAATATCGCTGCCTCATCCGGATATTGATACCACAGTAATTCCTGTAAACAGTAGAGCACAATAAACGTCCTTGTTTAATGTAAAACAAAATAATCATAAACACTTTCACTGAACATGTTTTCCTTTTTGTTCTTACTGATCGTATTCTAGTCCAAACTCATCAGAGGATTTAATGTGAATACAAATGTTATTTTGTTTGTTGTCTCTTCAGGCTGAGTGGCTGTAACCTCTCAGAGAGAAGCTGTGAAGTTCTGTCCTCAGTCCTCAGCTCTCAGTCCTCTAGTCTGAGAGAGCTGGACCTGAGTAACAACCACCTGCAGGATTCAGGAGTGAAGATCTTGTCTGCTGGACTGCAGAGTCCGCACTGTGACCTGGAGAGTCTCAGGTCAGGATTCAATCAATGTCCACTTGGTGTCTTTATTTAACCCAATGGTAATGGATTTGTAACCTTCATAATATTCTTTCTGCTTGATTAAAATCAAATTTGTCTTTTCCACATATTTCCATAAATATGCAGAGATTATTTTTTAATATATTCTCACACATTGAAATGTTGATCAGATGGAGATCAATCTGAAATATCAGTAACATTATCAGATTGTTGATGAACATTAGTGGGTATTTGGTTGTCACTGGAAACCAGTCAGTAACCATGTTAATGTGACCCCTCAGTACCTGATAGTATCTCAGTCCTGCAGTGCCCCTCCAGCCCCTCAGATCATGTGACATGTGTGTTGTGTTGTGTGTCTGCAGGCTGTCAGGCTGTCTGATCACAGAGGAAGGCTGTTCTTCTCTGGCCTCGGCTCTGAGCTCCAACCCCTCCCACCTGAGAGAGCTGGACCTGAGTAACAACGACCTGCAGGATTCAGCAGTGAAGCTGCTTTCTGCTGGATTGAAGAGTCCACACTGTGACCTGGAGACTCTCAGGTCAGAATTCAATTAATGTCCACTTGGTGTCTTTATTTACTTCAATGATACATTTCTCACCTTCATAAGGTTCTTTCTGCATGATTTAAATCAAATTTGTGTTTTCCACATACTTCCATGAACATGCAGAGATTATTTTCAATATATTGTTACACATTAAAATATTGGAGATCAATCATAGAGTTATCAGTAATGTTATCAGATTGTTGATGGACATTAGTGGGTGTTTAGTTGTGGCTGGAAACCAGTCAGTAAACCAGTCAGTAACCATGTTAATGTGACCCCTCAGTACCTGATAGTATCTCAGTCCTGCAGTGCCCCTCCAGCCCCTCAGATCATGTGACATGTGTGTTGTGTTGTGTGTCTGCAGGCTGTCAGGCTGTCTGATCACAGAGGAAGGCTGTTCTTCTCTGGCCTCGGCTCTGAGCTCCAACCCCTCCCATCTGAGAGAGCTGGACCTGAGCTACAATCATCCAGGAGACTCAGGAGTGAAGCTGCTGTCTGCTGGACTGGAGGATCCTCACTGGAGACTGGAGACTCTCAGGTATGAAGAGGCTGCAGCCACAGACCATCAGTCTGTAGAGGAGCTGGAAACCTTTTCTCTGTCCCACTGTCAGCCTGGTTAATAAGACCCTGACACACCAAGCAAGACCTCAAACCACCAGAGACTCATCCAACTGTTTGTGTCC